AATACATGCTGGGGACACAATATGTGATTGAAACAAATATTGCTATCCAATGTTATTGCAGTTTTAGTGTGCATTGGGGAATCTGGAAGATGCAGCACATTTATCAACACTGTGGCAAACAACAGAATGAGGTATTTTACAAATGAAACTTTTCTCATTGAATGCATACAATCTGATTGAAATATCTAGCATCTGATAGAATTTTATTTAAATCTTCTGGGCACATTACAGGTAAATTGATAGAAGCAACAAAGCTGCATTTTTAGTGTTGGCAATATGCAATATATAACACATAAATCTGATTACCAATGCCATGACCCGACTGTCATCAGTTCTAAACATTTCATTCACTGGGTTTTGTAATTCTTCCATATTGCTGTCTCTTGGACAAATATCTAGTAGAGCCTTGACCTCTCCAGTAAGTATATTCCACTTTTCACATTTTTCTGTTACTTCTTCTGCTTCATTGTTGTTCTCTGCTTTCACTTCCAGCTCCATCTGATTTTCACATACTTCTTCAGACAGTGGAGAGCCATCACTTTGCAAGAAGTGAATTTGAGTTACAGTGGTGTGGATGCATGAGCAACTATTCCCCATTCAGCAATGACTAAGGTCTGACATGGATTGAGATTTCAAGTCGTCAATAGTGGCACTGTTATTCGAATAGTTATAAGATATTCAGCAGGATTCTCAGTAAACTGTGATCAGTTTTCTCTGCTGGTATCAGATGACGCAAATAGGAAAAATAACTCCTCTCAGAAGGGCATTTGTGGAAGATATTTTTTGTGGGAAGCTCCGTGTAAATCCATTTTGTTGCCATCTTTAAAAAGTGACTTCAGCAATTTGTGTCTCAAATGCCTTGTGAGAATATGTTGTTTGAACTGAAGGCTTGTGACAGTTGCTATTGTTTGAAGAACAGAAGATAGAAGACAAAAACTATAGCATTATGAAGAAATCACTCCTGTTCTGAACTGTACTGCAAGTGAGAAGGGAGATTTGGCCCCATGAGCAGTTAAACGTTACAAATGTGCTACAGACACCTAGACACACCATAAGTCATGCAACACGAGATAAGCTGGTGCTTCATTCTGGATTTCACCAAACAGCCATCATTTAAATGTCAAAGCAATGCTTCACAGGAGTTCCCATTTAATATGCTGCATTCTCATTAATGTTTCAATAAATTTGTGAATTTAATTTTTAATAAACTTGTGGGATATCTGTTACTTCTGACAATGTGAATCCTATTAAGTAACAGCAGGCAGCTACCAGCTTAGTTTAGGTTTAGCAATAGTTTTAGGCAATATCAATAAAATGTTTATACATTTTTACATGATTGCAGTCCATCATTTTAACGTAAATTCCTTAATTTTACCATGTCTGCATTATACGCGATTACTAAAAACAAAATTAAAATAGCAGAACTGAAAGCTTTAAATTTTGAAAAAGATATTAGATTTCTCACTATGAACATGTTTCTTAAATAAATTATCTCCATTTTTAATGTTTTTATGACATCTACATTGGAAAACAAGAATGCTATTTTTCAAAGGCAAAATTTCTTTCTGCGCTTGTTACCCATCCCACTATCCACTGTTTTAAGTCATTTTTAATGCTATCTTGTGAAAATGCAATTTTGGTGTGAGCTCACAAATGGCAACAATATCAAGGTTTCCATGTACACTTTTATAAAGCCCTTTGAAATAGTAGAGGCAGGCCTTAAGCCATCTGTTAGGGTATAAATATTCATAAGTAGGCCTTTATTAACATTCACAGGAATTAAGCAAATATTGATCTTCTTCTTCTTGAGTTTTCTGCAAGAAGGGAGTTCTAGCCCACAGCGTTGCAATTTCCACCATGAGTACAGCAAGGCAGCAGATCCAGAATGTACCACAGCAAGAATGGGGATTGGATTCCATGCTATGAGAGGCATGGACAGAGTTGATAAGGAGCAGCTGTTCCCCTCAGTTGAAGAGTCAGTCACGAGGGGACATGAGTTCAAGGATGAGTAGTAGGAGGTTGGGGGGATGTGAGGAAAATCTCTTTTACCCAGAGCATGGTGATGGCATGGAATGTGTTGCCAGGGAGGGTGCTAGAAGTAAATTGCCTCAGATCCTTTAAAAAGTACCAGGATAAGAACATGACACATCTTAACATTCAAGGCTATGGGCCAAATACTGGTAAATGGAATGAGGTTGAAGGTCAGGTGTTTCTCACGTGTCGGTGCAGGTTCGACAGGCCTCTTCTGCACTCTATGATTCTATGACACAAATTTGATCCAGACTGGCCAGTCAGCCCTCCAAGGAGTGCAAGTTCCTGAGGCAACATGAAGTTGTAGTTTTTGTTGTTGCCTGGAGTTATGGATCATGGTTGTTAAGGCTCCAATTTATTTCCATCAACTCTTACCATCTCTCATCGGTGTATGTAGTAAGGACTTACAACTTAAGACTCAACTTATTTGATCATATTCTTAATGCACTCTACTTGGTCATCAAGTCCTGGGACTTGATTCCAGAGCTTCTGGGTCAGCTGCACGTATGTTACCCACTGTGAGCTCAATGCGAATAGCTGAGTTGGACCTGTGTGATTCTGAAGTATCTGCTGCAATCAGCCATTTTTTAAAGCTTTATTTCACTCTGGTTACTAAGAATCTGCATGTTCTACATTATCTCCATTTAAAAACAAAATCATTCCCCACACTTTATCATGACTTAAAACTTGATTGCAACTCAAAGATTTTAACTGGAAACAGTCACAGAAGCTAAATACTGTAGTTATCTCCTGGACATATTCCTCAACAATATGAAGTGCTGGCTACAATTTTTCAAATAGTCAGCACAATTAACCTGTGACCTGTCCCATAGCTGCGAGAGGTCACAATGTTGACATCGACATCCAAACGAAGTACGTTTTAGCCTCTGATAGACTCAGATCAGCTCCCAGCCCCTGCCTTTGCTTTTCATATCACTGGAAATGAAACTGAAACCAACATTTCCAGCCTTATTAGAGGAACTGATTTGACAGATAAAAGTTAAAAGTCAACATAAAAAATTAGATAGCCAGAATGCTACTTTTCTTTTAATATTATACAGATGTCCTTAAAAATGTAGAAAATAGGAGCAGGAGCTAGCCAATTTGCCCTTCAAACCTGCTCTGTTATTTAATATGATCATGGCTGATCATCCAGCTTAGTGCCCTGTTCCTGCTTTCTCCCCATACCTTTTGATCCCTTTAGCGTTAAGAATTATATTTAACTCCTTCTTGAAATTATTCACTGTTTTGGCCTCAACTGCTTTATGTGTCAAATAATTTCACAGGTTCACCACCCTCTGGGTGAAGAAATTTGTCCCCATCTCAGTACAATATATCCTACCCCATATCCTTATACTGTGACCCCTGGTTCTGCACTCCTGATCATCAGGAACATTCTTCTTGTATTATCCTGTCTAGTCCTCCTGGAATTTTATAGGTTCACGTGAGACTCTCCTTCATTATTCGAAAGTCTATTGAATATAGTCCTAAACGGTCCAGTCTCTCTTAATATGTCAGTCCTGTCATCTCAGGAATCAGTCTGGTAAACTTTTGTTGTACTCCCTCCACAGCCAGAACATCTCTCCTCAGGTAGGGAGACCAAAACTACACACAATACTCCAGGTATGGTCTGACCAAGCCCCTATATAATTGCAGAAAGACATCCCAACTCCAATATTCGAATCCTCTCACTATGAAGGCCAACATACCATTTTGCCTTCTTCACTGCCTGCTGAACCTGCATGCTTACCTTCATCAACTGGTGTACATGGACATAGAGGTCTCATTGCACCTCCCTTTTTGCAATCTATTGTTATTCAGATAATAATCTGCCTTCCTAATTTTGCTACCAAAGTTAATAACTTCACATTTATCCACGTTATACTTAATCTGCTATGCATTTGCCCACTCACTCAACTTGTCCAAATCACATTGGAGCATCTCAGCATTCTCCTCACATTTCACTCTCCAATTCAGCTTTGTGTCCTGTATAAATCTGAAGACATTACATTTAGATTCCTCGTTCCTTTACATTGTGAATAGTTGAGGTCCCAGCACAGATTCTGGTGGTAGCTCACTAGTCATTGCCTGCCACTTGGAAAAAGACCCATGTCTCTCCGCCACTGTTTGTTTCCTGTCTGCCAACCACTACCACAGTACACTACCCCCAATCCAATGTGCTTTAATTCTACAAGCTAAGCTCTTATGGGACCTTATCAAAATTCAACGTAATTTATTGTACGCCCATTAACGCATCCAATTTAAAATTCCACTCAATCCCTTGTCCATCTTGATTTCTGTAAACTTTTCCAATCCTACAATTGCCTTAAACCTCGCTATTCCTTTAATTCTGATCTTTTGTGTATTCCTCCAATCTTAGCTGCAGCAAGGTATCTCTGCTTTCAGCCACAAAAACAAAGTTGCTGGAAAAGCTCAGCTGCATCTGTGAAGGAGAAAACAGAGTTAAGGTTTCGGGTCCGGTGACCCTTCCTTAGAACTTTCAGCCAACCTGCTGCTGCACTCTGGAATTTCCGATTTTAATCTCTTTGCTTTTCCTAGCTCCTTCAAGATCTATTTTTATCATCTCCCTAAGCTTTTGGTCACACCTCCTGTTCTTGTCTGCATGTTTGAATGGAGTGTCCAATGCACCCCTGTGTAGAATCTGAGGTTTTTTTTGTTATAATAAATGCTCAACATTGCCTTGGTTGTGCACAGATGTTGCTTAATTGAAACAGTTGACACGGAATCTAGCTTAAATTTTAACTTTTTTTCCCATTTTCAGGTGCTAGCATATTCATTGCGCACTTCACTGTAAAATCTGATTTAATCTTCTTTCAATGCGCTTGTTTTCAAAGGGCTTACCTGGAAATTTCTGTGTTCTGAGTGGCTGTAGCGGCAATCAATCCGACTGACTGACCAATGGGAGGCTCGCACAGACAGCGGAAGTGCCGCCCTCAGCATCCGGGCACTCCGCATTGGTGCCTCTTTCGCTGGCGGAGTTAATGGCGCTGAGGCCCTGAGGCCTAACGCCAGGCCAACGAGGTGAAAAAAAGATCGTCGCTCGCATTTTTTCTTGTCGTCGCAGGTGCGTTCAGGGTAGGCATTTCTGTGCGCTCTGGGCACACGGGTCGGGATTTAGGCTGGAAGTGAGTGGAGGTTGAGCCCCAGGGATTCGGCCGGGCGTGCGGCCTAATGGGTTTCCATTGTGGCGCTTGGCAGGCGAGGGAGGAATCGGTCTAGGGCACTTCAAACATGGAATCGCTGGACTGGAACCTTCCAGGAGAAATCATAGGGTTTTTTTACAGCACGGAAGAAGGACTCCGCGTGTCTGTGCATCAGGCATCTATTCACTGCAATCCCATTTTCCAGCATTTGGCCCGTAGCCTTGTGTGCAGTGGCGTTTCAAATGCTCGTCTAAATGCTTCTTGAATGTCTTGATGGTTCCTGCCTCGACCATCATTTAGCCAGTGCCTTCCAGGTACCCATCACACTCTGGGCGGATTAAACTTTTCCTCAAATTCCCTTTCAACCTCCTGCTCTTTAACTTGAATCTGTGCCCCCTAGTTATTGACGTCTCTATTAAGGGGATGTGTTTCTCCCTATGTCCCTCAACTTCATACACCTCGATCAAGGTCTCCCAATCAGCCTTCTCTGCTGTAAGGAAAACAATTCCAGCCTATCTAGTCTGTCTTCATAGCTGAGGGGTCTCTCATATATTCTGGTGAATATGTATAATAATTAACTAATATATATATGACTCCATTGTAACCACCTTGCTGTTGTATTCAATACTTTGAACAATAAAGATACATACACCATATCATTCATAACATCTGTCCTGCTGCCTTCATGAATATATGGACTTGCACACCAAGGTTCCCCTGATCCTCTGTATTTCCTTAGGTTCTACCATTCAATGGAGGTGTAAATTTTCCTCCCCTTTGTCCACTCACTTCCCCTCCATCAACCCCATCATTCACACCAGAAGAGTATGACGTGATCTGTTTACAAAGGTTATTATTCAACAGGATTAATACTGCACATATTTCTTGCCAAATATATTTTGGAGCAATGTAGCATAATCTATAAGACACTATTCAAAAGGATGATGCAGGCAAATTCGAGCCTATATCTCAAAGGGGATCTTAATAAGGGAGGGGAAAAAAAGAAGAATTTTGGGAGCAAGTGGGACTAATTGGTATAAAAAACTTCTATGGATGCTGGCAATGGGTCAGGCAGCATAATGATTACAAAAAGTTAATATTTCAGGCTGATGATCTTTTGTCAGAATTTATACCCAGCTCTCTCAAACAATTGATGGGTGCAATAGCCTGGATTGCCTCCTTCTGTGTTTTGTGATTGTAAAATTTAATAACATTTGAGGCATAGATTTAAATCCCACTTGCAAGTGTACATTTTTAAATGTAATTAATGCGATGTAGGTGTTGCTGACTAGGCCAGCATTTTTATTGTCCATCACTAATTGTTCTGGAGAAGGTGGAGTTGAGCTGCCTTTATGAATCGCTGCAGTCATTGGGTATAGGGATACCTTCAGTGCTGGGAGAAAGGAAATTCCAAGATTATGACCTAGAGGATAGTGATCGGGATCCCAGTCAGAATGGTCTCACATATTGGTTTTGGTATGTGGAATATTTGGAAATGTAACTTCTTTATCATAACTTCTCCAAGATAATGCTAGAAAATCTTTTCAAAATCCTGGATGTTCCGCTTTCTTCCAAAGGTTGAGCTACTGAATAGCCATAGGCAAGATTTTCCACTTGCTCCAGAGTTCTGAAATATTGCAACTGTTGCCCAAAACGTGCTAGGTCCTTAGGGAGTTGGTGTGTGTTGACATCAAAGTTTGATGCAGGTCATGTTTGGTATGGAAGTTGCTGATTCTAGAAATCGAAGATAACTGAAATGCTGTCACTTGGCCAGGCAGTATTTTTGGAGAAGCTTGAGTTTGTAATATAGTTAAGGTTTTCATGGTGTTGTTTAAAATAACCTAACTGCTGTTCATTAGTTTTCTACATCATTTTGGAGAGCATGTGTACATCAATAAATGCATCAGCCATTCTGTACCAAAATCTAACACAGCAGCAATGAGATAAATAAACTTTTTTTTTGGTGGGATTGGTCAAGAGAAGTCTGTTGCTGAAAGCACCAAAAGAATTGCATATATCAGTTCAAGTTATGCTAGGGAGCATGATGTTTGCTCCAGGTTTTTATGCTTTGTTCGGCATGACTGTCATATGGGATTATGAATTCATGTTCCATTTTGAAAGTCACTTCGTTAATCTTTTGGCTCATTTCAAAATCTGAGCAACTGAAGCTGACCTAGTAACTTGAATATGAGTGTTCCATGAGAAATGTTGATTTTATTTTTGCAAAATATTGTCCAAAGTTTGACTCCCAATTTGTATATTCAAAAACATTCGAAGAAAGTCTTAAAATGGATGTTTCAAGTGCAAACAATTGAACATACAGATGTTGAATGCTTTATTAAAGCAGTTTATTGCATGTACATCCACAGGTATGCATTAAGATAATAGGACAAAACGTTTAGCATACTAAATGTATTTATCTGGGCGAAATGTTATGGATCAAAAACTTCTGCTAAAAATGGAAAGTTTTTCCAATCCTCTGATCTGCTGTTGTGGATTGCAGCTCAGATTGGGTGAATATGAGATTTGGATGTCAATAAATGTGACCATATTTATATGTAATCAGAGCCAGTTTAATTCACTTAGATTTTCATGTTTCGGCTGGTTTGGATGTACGTTGTTATAATCTATGTAAACATTAATTTTGTGCTAGTCACCAAATTGTATCTTGTGCACGGGCCATTTTATTACTCCAGCAGTCAATCTCTTTCATATACAGTATTTTCAAAAACATCATACACTAAGTATGCGTCTTCTATGCATATAATACTTTTAATATAGGAGCTGCCTCACGTTCTGAACTAAAGAGGCAAATCACCTTAATCGATCTGCAAATTATAGGTCATGGATTTGCAGAAAGCTAAAGGAATAAAATCTGTCTTTTTCCTCAGAATCTACAAATATGGCAGCATTTCCGTACAGGGCCGCACCTGGGCCCAATCCCGTTCCAGTCCCTCTACCTGATTACATGTCTGAAGAAAAGCTACAAGAGAAAGGTGAGATATTTCTACATAAATCTGGAGTGCAATTATGAATGTATTTACTGTGTACAAATGTTGCCTCATTATTAAAGTATAGAAGCACTTCATGTTAAAATTTAATTTTTTTAATGTACTTTGGGGACTTGAGGGTGCCCATGGTGAGACCAATAATCAAAGCTGTAGGTATGACTTTGAAGATTTAGAAGTAAGGTAAGTTTTTAATACTGCAGCACCTTTTGTGCTAACAATTAAACTTGAATTGAAAATTTTCATGACTGAAATTTTGATTATATACAGTATGGACTATTGATTTTTTTGACTTCCATTGAATGATACAAGGTTCTGCATGGTACATTAATTAGTAAAGTTAGGTCATGTGGGATTCAGGGTGAGCTTGCTAATTGGATACATAATTGGCTTAATGGCAGGAGACAGAGAGTAATAGTGGTGAGTTGTTTTTCGGACTGGAGGCCTGTGACCAGCAGTGTTTCTCAGGGATCAGTTCTGGGTCCTGTTCTGTTTGCCATTTATATAAATGATTTGGATGAGAATATAGAAGGCATGGTTAGTAAGTTCGCGGATGACACCAAAATGGGTGGCATAGTAGACAATGAAAAAGGTTTTCTAAGATTACAAAGGGATCTTGATCAAATGGGTCAATGGGCTGAAAAATGGCAGGTGAAGTTCATTCTGGATGAATTTGAGGTATTGCATTTTGGTACAACAAATGAGGGTAGGGCCTTGGGTAGTTTTGTAGAACAGAGGGATCTAGGGGTGCAGGTACATACGCTTCTTTGAAGTTGGTGTCACATATAAACTGGTTGGTTAAAAAGGTGTTTTGGCACGCTTGCTTTCATTGCTCAGCCATTTGAGTATAGGAGCTGGGAAGTCATGTTGAGGTTGTACAGGACATTAGTGAGGCCTCTTCTGGGATACTGTGTCCCTGTGTCCAGTTCAGGTTGCCCAGTTATTGGAAGGATATTATCAACGTGGAGAGGGTTCAGAAGAGATTTACCAGGATGTTGCCAGGTTCAGAAGGTTTACGTTATGAAGAAAGGTTGGATAGGCTGGTACTTTTGTCACTGGCGAGTAGGGGTTGAGAGGCGACTTGATAGATGTTAATAAAATAGTGAGAGTTATTGACAAGATCAATGATAGTCGTCTTTTCCTTAGGATGGGGAATTTCAAGTCTAGGGGGCACATTTTTAATGTGAGAGGAGATATATTTAGAAAAGACATTAGAGGCAATTTTGTTTTACACAGAGGGTGGTGTGTGCGTGGAATACTTCCCGAGGAAGTAGTAGATGCGGGTACAATTACAACGTTTAAAAGCCATTTAGATAGATACATGAATAAGAAAGGTTTGGAGGGATATGAGCCAGGAACAGGCAGATAGGACTCGTTTAGTTTGGGATTATGTTCGTCATGGACTGGTTGGACCGATAGGTCTGTTTCCGTGCTGTATGATTCTATGACTCTGTTTAATTACCTGGGACATCTATGGACTGAAAAGACTTTTTAAAAGGGGGTGCCATCTACTGACTCAGAATGACCACAAGGATAGCCTGAGCAGCCCTGGTTGGCTACATGTCATGAAGTTGATGTGGATTACCCCAAAGGGAACCAGATTTGAAATTAACATTTCCCCAACGGCAATGAAATCATTTAGTCAAGCTACATAGGAAGTGTGAAAAGGTCCTCATCTTTTTGATTGAAACATCTGCAGTTACCAAACCTGGAAGCAATAACCTCAGTATTGCCCAGGATCATAAAACTATTTCAAGTTGCTCTTTTGGTGGAGCAAAGAGAGATGGAATTAAGAATGCAGAACTGAACATGGGCTGTGAAGGTGTACTCTGTCTGGGGAAGAAAAGTACCCACACTGACAACTCTGACTGGAAAGATGCATCAGCGAATCATGAACTTAAAAGATAACTACATTATTTACTATTGCTGACAGCATCTTAAAAAAAAACAATTAACCAACCATGATCTTGGGTTAAAACCTTACACCTCAAGGGCACTCAAAGTACTCAAAACTGCATGTTTGTTTATCTTTCTTTGTATTGGACATTATTCCCTTTTAACTTCATATCTTTGTGTGTGAAGGCCCAAGTGCCTGCATGAAAACTCAGGCTTGATTTTGTGTCTTCATTGTAGTTTGTTGGATTTGTTTTATTCACTCACAGGTTTTAGCTGTCTCTGGCTGTGCCAATATTTATTGTCTGCCTGCAGTTCAAAAGCGAGGCAATGGCCTAGTGATATTATCACTGGACTGTTAACCCAGTGACCTAGATATTGTTCTGGAGACCTGGCTTCGAATCGTGCCATGGGTGATGGTGAAATTTGAATTCAGTAAAAATCTGAATTAAGAGTCGAATGATGATCATGAATTCATTATCGATTGTCAGAAAACCCCATTACTAGTGTTCACGTACATGGTTTAAGGAAGGACTGCAACCTTAGCTGGACTACATGAAACTCCAGACCTGTAGCAATGTGATTGACTCTTAACTAGTCTCTGGGCAAGTAGGGATGGGCAATAAATGCTAGCCTAGCCAATGATGCCCTCATTCCGTGAAAATAAAAAAAGGTTGTCCTTGAGAAATTGGTGGTGAACCTTGAACTACAACTGTGGTGTAGCTAGATCCACAATGCTGTTAGGGAGGGAGTTCCAGGATTTTGATCTAGTGACACTGAAGGAATGGGGATTAGTTTCCAAGTCCAGATGATGAGTGACTTGAAGGGAATCTTCTAGTTGGTGGTGTTCCTGTGTATCTGCTGCCTTTATCTTTCTAGATGGAAATTGTCATGGGTTTTGAAGGGCTGTCTAAGAAACATTGGTGAATTTCAGCAGTGCATCTTGAAGATGGTACACGTTGCTGCTGTTGAGTTTTGGCAGTGTGGAGAGAGTGCGTGTTTGTGGATGCGCTACCAGTCAAGTGAACTGCTTTGTCCTGGATGGTGTCTGGGTTCTTGTGTTGTTGTTGCTGCTTGTCCAAGCAAGTAGGGAGTATTTCATCGCACTCCTGACTTTGCTGTGTAGATGGTGGACAAGCTTTGTGGAGTCAGGAGGTGAGTTACTTGCTGCTTGTGTAGCCACTTTATGTTTGTGCCTAGTCTAGTTCAGTTTCTGGATTATGGTAACTGTCTGGGATGTTGATTGTGAGGCATTCAGTGATGGTAACATCTTTAAATGTCAAGGGATTGTGGTTGAATTGTCCCTTATTTGGACAATGTCATTGCCAGGCATTTATGTAGCGCAAATATTATTTACCACTATTCAGCCCAAGCCTGGGTAATGTCCAGGTCTTATTGCATTTGGACATAGATATCTTCAGTATCTGAGGAGTTGTGAATGGACCTGAACTTAGTGCAATAATTTCTAACCTTATGATGAAAGATTGATGAAGCAGCTGAAGATAGCTGGGATGGGGTAGTACCCTGAGGAATTCATGCAGAAATGTCCTGGTGCTGAGATGACTGCCCCCCCAACAACCATAACCATCTTCCTATCTGCAGTGTATGCCACCAACCAACTAGATTTTCTCCAGTTTCCCATTGACTTCCTCAGTTCTAAGGAAGGGTCACTCGACCTGAAATGTTAACTCTGATTTCTCTCCACAGATGCTGCCAGACCTGCTGAGCTTTTGCAGCAATTTCTGTTTCCGTTTCCCATTGACTCCAGTTTTACTGGGGCTCTTTGATGCTGTACTTGGTCACATGTGGCCTTGATGTCAAGGCATGCCCTCCCACCTCACCTGTGGAATTCATTTATTTTGTCCATGTTTGAACCAAGGCTGTAATGAGGTCAGGAGTTCAGTGACCTTGGTAACACCCAAACTTGCCATCATGAGTCGTTTATAATAGGTCTATAAATTTATTCATTGACTTTAGAACCTGGGCTTTTCCTCCTGTTATATATAGGGTTAGCTTGAAAATTTGCTGAAAATTCCAAACTAACTGAATTAGATAGCAGATGTACTTTATAAATGAACTGTTGTTGATTTCTTGAAGTAGACCAGTTTGTTGTTAGTAGAACAGCATATCAAATTCAGCTAGAGGGTAGCAAATCCAGGTGCTGTGTGTGACTTAAGAGGGGACATTTTGGGTAGTGATGTTCCATCCTTCAAACTATAAAGAAGAGGCACATATTGCATTTAGTTCTGAAACAGCGCAGTGAATTGCTGCCCTTGGGTGCTGCAGCTTAAAGATAAGAGCTCTCAGGTGCAGTTGAACATATACCAGTTGCCATTGAGCTCAGCTAGCCATCCTTATTGGTTTTTGGAACTGTCAAGTTATTCGTAACTGAACTTATGTTGTATCTAAGCCCTGAGCTTGCCATCCAGGCATTGGAAGGATGTTCACCCTTGCTGAGTTCAGTTCAATGAAACGCTGTGAGAGACAAACCATACAGCGTGGTTATTTCAAAATTTTTCTCACTGTGATTTTTAGTCATTTCCCAAGCTCATATAACCCAGCCAATGAAGAATTCATCATCCTGCCTCCATGTCATCTGTTAGTTGCAGTCAGGCCAACGAATGCTTAGCTGAGATTCAAAAATAAACTTCAGTGATTAACACCAGTGGCTTGGTTTAATGCTGTTCTCTCAGGACAAACCGTAATGTCTGATTCACCAACTTGCACTGTTCTCCGTCGAAGAGGAAACTACAGCTTTGCATAACAACTTTGGAACAACTTTACCTTGGTAATAGACAAAATATTGGACATTTTGTTGTCTTTAGATTTTGACTTCTGCTCCTACTCCAACATTTATTTTAATAAGCTGTTGATTAAGTCATGGAACTGTTTTAAAAGAGTTATGACACCTCTTTTTGAGATTGTGATCAATTATAAACTTTCCAGTGTATTAAATTATTTTTCCAGCCAGGAAATGGCAACAACTTCAAGCTAAACGGTATGCTGAAAAGAGAAAGTTTGGCTTCGTGGATGCTCAGAAGGAGGACATGCCCCCTGAACATGTCCGAAAGATAATTCGTGATCATGGTGACATGACAAACCGGAAATTCAGGCATGACAAGAGAGTCTATCTTGGGTAAGCATTTTGTCAATACAGAGAACAATAGCAATTTCACCTTGAGCCAATAATGATCCTCTGAGATTTGATGCTGAATGAACTTTTCATATTACTATTTAACTGAAGCATTAGCCCATTTTTTTGTTTCAACGACAGGCGGTTCAGTGATGTTCCAGAGCATAATTTAAGACCATTTTTAATGCATGTTTGATCTTTTTCAATGAATGGCTTGACCTCCAGTACTCATCCTGTTGAGTATGAATGTTTGTACAGAGACTGCTGTGAGACGTAATGTTCTGTTTGAGGATAGGGTGAGAAGAGGTGTTGTGATGGGAGTGGCGAGTAAGTATCTGAAATTTACAATGACTAACAGCATGGAATATAATATGTGCAGTATACAAGTAATGATAACTTTCCTAAATATTGCACTCCTACAGCCCTGTTTGCATAGGATGCAGAGCTGGGCTGAGAAGTGGCAGATGGAGTTTAACCCTGAAAAGTGTGAGGTGATTCATTTTGGAAGGACAAACTTGAAAGCAGAACCTAGGGTTAACAGAAAGATTTTTGGCAGTGTGGAGGAGCGGAGGGATCTTGGTGTTCATGTCCACAGTTCCCTGAAAGCTGCCACCCAGGTGGATAGAGTTGTTAAGAAGGCATATGGTGTGTTAGCTTTCATTAATAGAGGGATTGAGTTCAAGAGCAGTGAAGTTATGCTCCAGCTATACAAAACCCTGCTTCGGCCACATCTGGAGTATGGTGTCCAGTTCTGGTCGCCTCATTACAGGAAAGATGTGGAAGCGTTGGAAAAGGTGCAGAGGGGATTTACCAGGATGTTGCCTGGAATGGAGGGAAGGTCTTACGAGGAAAGGTTGAGAGAGCTAGGGCTTTTCTCTTTAGAGCGACGAAGGATGAGAGGTGACTTGATAGAGGTGTACAAAATGATCAGAGGTATAGATAGAGTGGACGGGCAGAGACTTTTTCCTAGGGTGGAGGTAGCTATTATGAGGGGGCATAGTTTTAAAGTGAGTGGAGGTAGATATAGGGGAGACGTCAGAGGTAGGCTCTTTACTCAGAGAGTGGTAGGGGCGTGGAATGCATTGCCGGAGAGGGTAGTGGAGTCAGCCTCATTAGGGGCATTTAAGCGGCTATTAGATAGGCATATGGATGATGGTATAAGGCAGGAGTGGAGGTTAGATAGACCGTAGGTTTAGGGTAAAAGATCGGCACGACATCATGGGCCAAAGGGCCTGTACTGTGCTGTACTGTTCTATGTTCTATATGATTGTGTACTATTTAGATCTTTCTTTTAAATGCTTCTAGATTTTCAGTTGCTGGAATCTATACTTCATGCCATTGAATCTATTTGTTGAGATGAAAGGGGAATTGAATTAGACTACTGCTTGGTTAGAGATAGACTTGAGGTCCTCTTCAAGCTGAGAAAATCAATTCTGTGCATTCTTGCATGTTGTTCTCATGTTTGTGGTCTTAATTTTCTTTAATATTGTGGAAGTGACATAACAATTTCCAAGTTTACATATGACTAAACTGAAATATGTGCATTTTCAAAACTGCAAAGTCCCATTTTGTATTCCAGTGTAAAGACTCAGTATATGCTAGCCAATTGTAATAAAATCTAGCACTTATCCAAAATATAAATATCAGTCATTAGACTTGTCATCACAGTAAGGCTGTTTGACTCCGAGTATAACAGGACCTTGATCAGATGGGCCGATACGCTGAGAAAACGTTAATTTAGATAAATGTGTGGTGCTGCATCTTGGTAGGGCAAATCAGGGCAGGACTTGTACACTTAATGGTAAGGTCCTGAGGAGTGTTGCCAAACAAAGAGACCTTGGAGTGCAGGTTCATAGTTCCTTGAAAGTGGAGTTGCAGGTTGACAGGGTAGTGAAGAAGACGTTTGGGACGCTTGCGTTTATTGGTCAGTATATTTAGTATAGGAGTTGGGAGGTCACGTTGTGGCTGTACAGGACATTGGTTAGGCCACTTTTGGAATTCTGTGTGCAATTCTGGTCTTCCTGCAATAGGAAGGATGTTGTGAAACTTGAAAGAGTTCAGAAAAGATTGGCACGGTTGGAGGGTTTGAGCTATTGGGAAAGGCTGAATAGGCTGGGGCTATTTTCCCTGGAACGTCAGAGGCTGAGGGGTGACCTAATAGAAGTTTATAAAATTAAGAGGGGCATGGATAGGATGAATGGACAAGGTCTTTTCCCCAGGGTAGGGGAGTCCAAAACTAGAGGGCATAAGTTAAAGGTGAGAGGGGAAAGATTTAAAAAGGTCCTAAGGGGCAACTTCTTCAAGCAGAGAATGATGTGTATACGGAATGAGCTGCTGGAGGAGGTGGTGGGAGGCTGGTACACCTACAACATTTAAAAGGCATCTGTATGGGTACATGAAAATGAAGGGTTTAAAAGGGATATGGGCCAAATGCTAGCAAATGGGTCTAGATTAATTTCGGATATTTGGTTGGCATGAATGAGTTGGGCCAAATGGTCTGTTTCCATGTTGTACAAGTCTAAGACTAAAGCTAATGTATTGGCAATTGTATTTTTTCCCTCTCTTCATAGTGCTTTGAAGTACATGCCACATGCTGTTCTGAAACTACTGGAGAACATGCCTATGCCATGGGAGCAGATCAGAGATGTTTCAGTTTTGTATCACATCACAGGTGCAATCTCATTTGTTAACGAAATTCCCTGGGTTATTGAACCAGTTTATATATCTCAATGGGGGTAAGTAAAGTGTTGGATTTTTCAGGAACTTTTGATGAAAATGTGTTTGAATTCACTTGTAAAGTATTTTGTGTTCTTCTGTCTTTGACTATTTCAGAATCAAATTGAATGATACAAAGAAATCAATGTTGTGGCTATTAGTAATTATTCCAAAAGTAATGTTACAAGATGCCTGTCAAAACATAGGCCTTAATATCTGTTGTTATTATATTAAAGATTAGACTCGCTGATTTTAGACTCTGTCTTCCTGGATTTCAGTTATTATTGAAGATGGAAAATATCTGTTGTCGACAAAAAAATTTGGGTGACTTGATTCGCTGCCACTCCTAAGTATAGGCTATTGATTAATATACACAATCTCTCCAGATCATGCATTCAAAAGCTATTTGCTTGGATTTTTTTAATTTATGGAAGAATTTTCAATTGTACTGCAATTTATAGTTAAATAAACATATTTTCTGAGTGCATTTTATACCTCAGTGGGTAAATATTTCACTATGTTCCTTCATTGCATATGATAAGGAACTGCATTTTGCAATTCAAAGGACATTTTTGTGATGAAATGCAATAACCAAAGACTCATTTCTCATTAGAACCATGTGGATTATGATGAGACGTGAAAAGCGTGATAGACGACACTTCAAAAGGATGCGGTTTCCTCCTTTCGATGATGAAGAGCCTCCACTGGATTATGCAGATAATATACTTGATGTGGAGCCACTCGAAGCAATACAGATGGAACTTGATTCAGAAGAGGATGGACCAGTGGCAGAGTGGTTATATGATCACCAGCCACTGAAAGACAACCCAAAGTGAGGCTTTGTGTCTTGGTGTCAAGTGTGTTAATGTCATGAAAGATTGAAGGCCTAACAAAGTAGTTAAATGACATGGAAAAATCTGATTTTAAATTATTAGCAATTATTTATAGAATAAGGCAAATTAAAACTGTGCTGCTAGAAATGATATGTACACCTGAACTAATTAAAATGACTTCACTTCCTGTGAATGAACAATTAACTATGACATAATTAGGGTTAACGTGCTCAGCCAACTGGACAAAGTTGATATTATGCTTGTTGCTTTCCACAAGGGGCCATTGGTCAGTTCATAATCTTAAAAAAAAATTTCATTGGATAGTCTTTCTTGAAAATTTCAATAGTTTCTTTAGTCTAGCCTATTGTCTGCGTGAGTTGTTTCACATATTTTCTAACTAACCTGTTCAGAGATGTTATCACACATCTCTGGAACAAGTGAGATTTGAAACCATGTTTCTTGTCTCCGAGGTAGGGATACTACCACTGCACCCACAGGAGTTTTATGGTTTTGATTTATCAATGGTCCTTCTTTGCCAATCATTGGCTTCAGTATGAAAAAATAAAAAAAAATTCAGCTAGATAATGCTCAACAACCTTATTATTTGGTACAAGTAAATTCAGTTGATTTTTATAGATTTAAATCAATTTAATAGGTTTCTTACAAGTGCAGAGAAATACTAAAAAGCTAAAATTGTGGAAAGAATAGACAACTAGACTTCACAAGTCTTGATCTGAAGGTCTGGATTTTGTGATGGTAATAGTTCATTGATTTTACACTCATCTATAGGGTGCTTTCTTGAGGTCCTGTCTGGAGCAGTTCTAAAGCATTCAGTGAGTTGATAAAAACGTGACAAATTGCTCTGTATTCAATTAAATATAACCATTATTCAAATAAATGTAACCAGATGTTTAATTGTGTACAAAATTCACAATGAATAGTAAGTACGCTCATTGACCCTGGAAAGGTATTTAATGTAGAACAGTACAACACAGGAACAGGCCCTTTGGCCCACCGTGTTTGTGCCGACCATGATGCTGTTTTAAAATAATCCCATCTGCTTGTATACGGTCCATATTCTTCTATTCCCCGCCTGTTCATGTGTCTGAATAAAAGCCTTTTAAACATTGCTATTGTCTTTGCTTCTACCACCTCCCACAGCAGTGTGTTCCAGTCACGTACAACCCTCTGTTTTAAAACAAAACTTCCTTTGCACATATCCTTTGAACTTTTCCTCCCTTATCTTAAACCTATGCCCCCTAGCATTTAACATTTCCACCCTAGGGAAAAAGACTCCAACTATCCATCCTATCTGTGCCCCTCATAATTTTACATACTTTTATCAAGTTGCTCCTCTGCCTCTGACGCTCTAGTGAAAGCAATCCAAGTTTGTCCAACCTTTCGTTGTGATGAGACATTTGTCGAATGGCAACTTTCTCCATTATGATAAATTCCACATTTATAAATCAATTTGCTCATATCGGCATTTTGGCTTTGCTTTAAATCAAATTATTTGAAAAATTTTAAAGTATTGATGATCAGTGGCTTATTGCTTCCTGGTTTGCTGACTGAAAAAATACTGTGATTAGCTGCTTGCTGTCATCACTGCTGCTGCAAGTTGTGAAATCCCCTTAAGTTGGCACTAGATTTAAACTGCGTTGGGAAAGGTGAAGGCTGCAGCACAATGGCCACTTGAACTTGTGGACGGTTGCATTTAAGTCAGTAGCAAGCACCTTTGCTTCGTTACTGATCACAGAATCGAGCTCATAACAAAACATGGGGAAAAAGTGTGTGTGTGTAATCTAGAGAAATGGTTTTTCAGTCACAGTCCTACCTGTGGTGACTGCTAGAAATGGACATGTAGACACTTGGATGAGAACACACTTAAGCCTAGTGATACCATTGTAGTTGAATAGCATGTTAACATTTAATTGTATAGACTTGTGCATGATAATTGACCACTAATGAAGTACCAGAAACCTTTGGAACCTATGGACTGGCTTCAGGAGGGGAACTTGTTGAGGAGGATAAAAATTGGGCTTTAATTAATAACAAAACAAAAAAGAAATACCATAACTCTCATTGTTGGTAGTTTTGATTTTGTGGGTGCTTATTTTAACTCTGTGCTGTAATTAGAAGAATTGATTTGAACTAAACTGCTTTGTTAAAATGAGAAAATTATAATTAAATTAATCTATTCAGCTTCTTATTGTATTCAAATATCGCTATCCACTTGTGATTTGCTATGATATTAAGCTGTAACGTTCTCTTATAAAATGCTTAGATTGAAAAATATTCTGTCCTAATATAGGTATGTTAATGGATCGACTTATCGTCGCTGGCAGTTTACTTTGCCTATGATGTCTACTCTTTATCGCCTGGCTAATCAGTTGCTAACTGATTTAGTGGATGACAACTACTTCTATCTGTTTGATCTAAAAGCATTTTTTACATCCAAAGCTCTTAACATGGCAATTCCAGGTGGACCCAAGTTTGAGCCTCTGGTTCGGGATGTGAATCTTCAGTAAGGACTTTTCTTTTTAAAATCCATTATTAAGATATTAAGTCAATAGTAAATTTAGTTGTGTGCTGTTAGTATTTCTATTAGATTGAGCAGTGGGCGCCATAACCACTAAATGCTTCAACAATGTTCAGTAGTGTTCCACTTGGTAAATCTTTAATATTTTCCTGCATGTGAATCATTTAATTGAATCTTATTTCCCTGCTTATTCTCAATATTTGCTAACTATCTTTTCAGGTTATAATTTTATTGAACAATTATTTGTATACTCTGCTTCAACAGCAGTTTGGGATAGAATTCCACATTTTATCTATCAACTATGCAGATCTGTTACCTCGCACTCTTTCATTTTAAAAAAATATAATTCTCTGTCTTGTTATAATTTTGTGCCTGCAGTCGGTACTCTCTGTACATTATCATTAGTTTCATAATGTCAGTTCACTGATTTACTTTGCTCTGCTTTGCTGAGTAGGCCCCAACTCCATTAGTCTCCTTAATAACATAATTCTTGAACATAATTCTTAGCAGTATCTCAGTGAATCTAATACAAAACAAAGAACCCCAGATGTTGGAGATTTGAAACAGAAATTTCTGTAAAAACTTAGGAGGTCTGGCACCATCTGTGGAAAGAAAACAGGGTAACATTTTGTCTCAGAATCTGTTCCAGTGAAGAATCACCAGATTCAAAATGTTAACTCTGTTTTCTCCCTACAGATGCTGCCAGACATGCTGAGTTTCTCCAGCAACTTCTGTTTTTG